GAGAGAGGAGAGGGAGAGTAGTTGACTGGGGGAGAGAGAGTAGTTGAGGAGAGGGAGAGTAGTTGACTGGGGGGGGAGAGAGTAGTTGACTGGGGAGAGAGAGAGAGGAGAGGGAGAGTAGTTGACTGGGGAGAGAGAGAGAAGAGATGGAGAGTAGTTGACAGGGAGGGGTAGACAGATTTATGGCTGGATGTAAAATGAAGCGCTTCCAGGGTTTAGAGGGAGACGGACCATTACGACTTCACCTGCCTCTGTTTGTTTTTCCTTACCCGTCCGCCAGCCTGGCGTGTGGATTTGTTCAAGTGTGTGTGTGTGTAGTAGTAGAATATCAATATCCAATGTGGTTGTGTTAGGTCCTGTAGCCTCTGCGTAAGGGGATAGGGGTCAGTGATTACTGACTAGGGTGTAGGGGCTAGGGGTCAGTGATTACTGACTAGGGTGTAGGGGCTAGGGGTCAGTGATTACTGACTAGGGGTCAGAGGTTACTGACTAGGGTGTAGGGGATAGGGGTCAGTGGTTACTGACTAGGGTGTAGGAGCTAGGGGTCAGTGATTACTGACTAGGGTGTAGGGGCTAGGGGTCAGTGGTTACTGACTAGGGTGTAGGGGCTAGGGGTCAGTGATTACTGACTAGGGTGTAGGGGCTAGGGGTCAGTGGTTACTGACTAGGGGCTAGGGGTCAGTGGTTACTGACTAGGGTGTAGGGGCTAGGGGTCAGTGGTTACTGACTAGGGGCTAGGGGTCAGTGGTTACTGACTAGGGTGTAGGGGCTAGGGGTCAGTGGTTACTGACTAGGGTGTAGGGGCTAGGGGTCAGTGGTTACTGTCTAGGGTGTAGGGGCTAGGGGTCAGTGGTTACTGACTAGGGTGTAGGGGTTAGGGGTCAGTGATTACTGACTAGGGTGTAGGGGCTAGGGGTCAGTGGTTACTGACTAGGGTGTAGGGGCTAGGGGTCAGTGGTTACTGACTAGGGGCTAGGGGTCAGTGGTTACTGACTAGGGGCTAGGGGTCAGTGGTTACTGACTAGGGGATAGGGGTCAGTGGTTACTGACTAGGGTGTAGGGGTCAGTGGTTACTGACTAGGGGATAGGGGTCAGTGGTTACTGACTAGGGTGTAGGGGCTAGGGGTCAGTGGTTACTGACTAGGGTGTAGGGGCTAGGGGTCAGTGGTTACTGACTAGGGGCTAGGGGTCAGTGGTTACTGACTAGGGGCTAGGGGTCAGTGGTTACTGACTAGGGTGTAGGGGCTAGGGGTCAGTGGTTACTGACTAGGGTGTAGGGGCTAGGGGGTCAGTGGTTACTGACTAGGGTGTAGGGGCTAGGGGTCAGTGGTTACTGACTAGGGGCTAGGGGTCAGTGGTTACTGACTAGGGGCTAGGGGTCAGTGGTTACTGACTAGGGGCTAGGGGTCAGTGGTTACTGACTAGGGTGGTAGGGGCTAGGGGTCAGTGGGTTACTGACTAGGGTGTAGGGGCTAGGGGTCAGTGGTTACTGTCTAGGGTGTAGGGGCTAGGGGGTCAGTGGTTACTGACTAGGGTGTAGGGGTTAGGGGTCAGTGATTACTGACTAGGGGTGTAGGGGCTAGGGGGTCAGTGGTTACTGACTAGGGTGTAGGGGCTAGGGGTCAGTGGTTACTGACTAGGGGCTAGGGGTCAGTGGTTACTGACTAGGGGCTAGGGGTCAGTGGTTACTGACTAGGGGATAGGGGTCAGTGGTTACTGACTAGGGTGTAGGGGTCAGTGGTTACTGACTAGGGGATAGGTGTCAGTGGTTACTGACTAGGGTGTAGGGGCTAGGGGTCAGTGATTACTGACTAGGGTGTAGGGGCTAGGGGTCAGTGGTTACTGACTAGGGTGTAGGGGTTAGGGGTCAGTGATTACTGACTAGGGTGTAGGGGTTAGGGGTCAGTGGTTACTGACTAGGGTGTAGGGGCTAGGGGTCAGTGGTTACTGACTAATAATATGCCATTTAGCAGACGCTTTTATCCAAAGCGACTTACAGTCATGCGTGCATACATTTTTGTATATGGGTGGTCCCCGGGATCGAACCCACTACCTTGGCGTTACAAGCGCCGTGCTCTACCAGCTGAGCTACAGAGGACCCCTAGTCCTCTGTAGCTACAGAGGACTAGTGTGTAGGGGCTAGGGGTCAGTGATTACTGACTAGGGTGTAGGGGTTAGGGGTCAGTGATTACTGACTAGGGTGTAGGGGCTAGGGGTCAGTGGTTACTGACTAGGGTGTAGGGGCTAGGGGTCAGTGGTTACTGACTAGGGGCTAGGGGTCAGTGGTTACTGACTAGGGGCTAGGGGTCAGTGGTTACTGACTAGGGGCTAGGGGTCAGTGGTTACTGACTAGGGGCTAGGGGTCAGTGGTTACTGACTAGGGTGTAGGGGCTAGGGGTCAGTGATTACTGACTAGTGTGTAGGGGCTAGGGGTCAGTGGTTACTGACTAGGGGTCAGAGGTTACTGACTAGGGGCTAGGGGTCAGTGGTTACTGACTAGGGTGTAGGGGCTAGGGGTCAGTGGTTACTGACTAGGGTGTAGGGGCTAGGGGTCAGAGGTTACTGACTAGGGGTCAGAGGTTACTGACTAGGGGCTAGGGGTTAGTGGTTACTGACTAGGGTGTAGAGGCTAGGGGTCAGTTTAGGAATCAGCCCCAGGTTTCTTTTTACTATAGATCAGGTGAGGGCCCCAGCAGTCGGTGCCAGCGTTCCATGGTGGTCGGTCAGCACCAATCCCCACTAATCAACACCGGCCTAGAGACTGTGTTCTATCACAGAAAACAACACCGGCCTAGAGACTGTGTTCTATCACAGAAAACAACACCGGCCTAGAGACTGTGTTCTATCACAGAAAACAACACCGGCCTAGAGACTGTGTTCTATCACAGAAAACAACACAAGCCTAGAGACTGTGTTCTATCACAGAAAACAACACAAGCCTAGAGACTGTGTTCTATCACAGAAAACAACACCGGCCTAGAGACTGTGTTCTATCACAGAAAACAACACCGGCCTAGAGACTGTGTTCTATCACAGAAAACAACACAAGCCTAGAGACTGTGTTCTATCACAGAAAACAACACAAGCCTAGAGACTGTGTTCTATCACAGAAAACAACACAAGCCTAGAGACTGTGTTCTATCACAGAAAACAACACAAGCCTAGAGACTGTGTTCTATCACAGAAAACAACACCGGCCTAGAGACTGTGTTCTATCACAGAAAACAACACAAGCCTAGAGACTGTGTTCTATCACAGAAAACAACACAAGCCTAGAGACTGTGTTCTATCACAGAAAACAACACAAGCCTAGAGACTGTGTTCTATCACAGAAAACAACACAAGCCTAGAGACTGTGTTCTATCACAGAAAACAACACAAGCCTAGAGACTGTGTTCTATCACAGAAAACAACACAAGCCTAGAGACTGTGTTCTATCACAGAAAACAACACAAGCCTAGAGACTGTGTTCTATCACAGAAAACAACACCGGCCTAGAGACTGTGTTCTATCACAGAAAACAACACCGGCTAAAACCAGAGCTGTTTACCCACTAGTAATAGAGGGAAATGTCAACATCTCTCTCCCTCCTTTTCCTTCCCTTTTTTCACTCTCCCTGTTTTTCTTCGGTCAGGCCGTGCGCAGGCAGTGATTGGCTAAGGTGCCAGTATGGATTATGGATGCCCAGTCATGCCCAGCAGTCTGACAACCATGCAGGGGTCAGATTTGTGAGGGTGCAACTAAAGGGACTTGACTGGCGTGCATCCCATTGACAGTCCGATGAGGGCAAACCTTAAAACTGACCCTAACCTTAACCAAAACCCTAATTTTAGGAAATGTAACATTGGTTCTCTGGTCAGTCACACAGGTGAGCTCCAATAAGCAGTAGCTCCTCCCCTCTCTCCGTACTGCAGGACGTTGGTCTGTTATGACAGCGGCAGGCCACTCAGTCTGGTGGAGGCCAGAGGAAAGTTCCAGATGAATATTATTAACTGTGAGGGAGAGATGTTGTTGAACCGCGGTCGTCTGTTTGAACTACACTTTTGACCTTTGTGTTGTTAACTTTTTTATGACGTTCTCTCCCTTTTTATGGTTTGCGAGTTGTTTATGGTCCAGGGCCTGTGTTCACAACGTGTCTCAGAATAGGAGTGCAGGTCCATGCCCTGATTTATTATGATCTAAAAGGCTAAACTGACCCTAGAACAGCACTCTTACTCTGAAACGCTTTGTGAATACGGGCCCAGGCCCAATACATTGGACATACTTTTGAGAATGCTTTACACTGGACGGTTTAAAGGGACGGTCCCTAGTGGCCTAGTTGCAGTTCTGACTTAGATGTGTTCCGTTGTAAGGGGAAACAGCACCACTGGGCCCCACTACCATTATTATTTTGTTGCCGAGGCAACGTCGCGCAGCATGGTAAAAAAAAAAGAAATCTGTGCATATTGTGAGCAATGATGTCAGGTTTAAAAAAAAAAGTGTTTGTTCTTTGCAGTAACTTCTTCGTTGTTGTAATATTGCAAACAGACGAAGCAGTTTCACCATTAAGGATTTCACCTTTTAAATCTGCTTGAAAATCTGTGGAAATATTTTACTATTTCTGTCCATCAATGATCCTCAAACAACTTGACAGAAATGTAGCAAATTTGCCAGGAGAGGTGTGCATGCCAAATGTTGTTGAATGTGTCCTACAGGAGAAGGTTGAGTAGATCAACAACTAAATGGGAAAACAGAAAGTTTCCACATTTCACAAGGCACTGTACTTACAGGAATTTAATGCAATAAACACTTATTTAGACTTAAATGTAAATGGTTTGTGTTGAACAGGGCAAAGGGAGAACATTGATAGAAGTGTTGGACAAAAGCCAAAGCCAAATGATATCATGAATGATGAAAAGAGGTTGAATGATTAAATGGATGAAAGAGAGGTTGAATGATTAAGTGGATGAAAAAGAGGTTGAATTATTAAATGGATGAAAGAGAGGTTGAATGATAGCAAAATGAACATGAAAACGAAGGTGCGGAACAGAAAATGGAATGATGGCGAGTGTGAGGAGAGAAGGGTGGCTTTGCTCATTTTCTACGCAGCCGCTGGTCCTCCACACATTGGTTGCTCTGTGCCCAAAGGGGAACTAAAGCCCGACCAGAGCATACATTTATTTTTACGATATTTAAACAAACAAATAACAAAAATAAATCAATGCAAACCTCTAAACCTGACCATGTATGTTTAGGAGCCCCTCTCACTGACAGCAGTGCGAGACCACCAATTTCTCCCGGTCAATATTTGAACAGCTAATTCAGTTTGTCCTCTCCGTTTGACTGAAAAAAAGCGAGTGAAAGAGTAGAATGAATAGTGTGTACGTGTGTGTCGTGTGTACACGTTGTATGAGTTTAGTATGTTCTTATCTGTCTTGACTTGTGGTTGGTTGTGGCTTCAAAAAACGTGTGTGTGTGTGTGTGCACCCAACAGTGCAGTACTGGCTTGCAGCCGTGCATGTATAGACCTACCCAGGTTTCCTGTCTCCTGTAATGTTGTTCCTGTTTCCTGTCTCCTGTGGTGTTGTTCCTGTTTCCTGTCTCCTGTGGTGTTGTTCCTGTTTGCTGGTCTCTACCTTGTGCCGTTGGTGCCAGAGCTGCTAGTAAAACTGCTTAGATTAGACCCTTATCACTCCTCCAGACCTCTACCATGTGACTGACTGGGGAAAGCACGCCACGGCTGCAGGCAGGCAGGCAGGTAGGTAGGTAGGCACGCAGGAGGCAGGCTGACTGACTGACTGACTGACACACTCACTGCAGGACATAGTCTTTCCCTATCATATAATTCATTCATGCTCTCTCAATCATTTAGTCTAATTTTCTCTCTACACCTCTATTGCTCTTTCCCTCTCATACTGTTTCTCTCCCTCACACTTTCTCTCTCTCCCTCTCTCTCTCGATAGCTTAGTGTTTGCTCAGGTCACATCTTATTTCTGGTCCTTTCCCTCTGCTTCCTGTACACTTATTTTTATTTCATTGAATCCCCCCAAAATATAAATATAGTGTGCAGGAAAATATTACATTTGAATTTATATTTATGGAAAGAAAGTTTTGACATTAGTTGGATTTGTCATAATTTCGATCTTGCTCTCTCTCTCCCATTCTCTTGCTCTCTCTCTCTCCCATTCTCGCTCTCTCTCTCTCATTATCTCTCCCTCATTCTCTCTCTCTCTCTCTCTCCCATTCTCTCTCTCCCATTCCTCTCTCTCTCTCCCCATTCCCCTCCTCCTTCTCTCCTTCTCCATTCTCGCTCTCTCCCATTCTTGCTCTCTCCCATTCTTGCTCTCTCCCTTCTTTCCTCTCCATTCCTCTCTCCTCTCCCTTCCTCTCTCCTCTTCCATTCCTCTCTCCTCTCTCCCATTCTCTCTCTCCTTATCTCTCCCTCATTCTCCCATTCTCTCTCTCCCCCCCATTCTCGCTCTCTCCCATTCTCACTCTCTCCCATTCTCTCTCCATCTCTCTCCATTCTCTCTCTCCCCATTCCTCCTCTCCCATCTCTCCCATTCTCTCTCCCATCTCTCATCTCTCTCTCCATTCCTTCTCTCCATTCTCTCTTCTCCATTTCTCTTCTCCATTCTCTCTCTCTCCCATTCTCTTCTCTCCATTCTTCTCCTTCTCTCTTCTCCTCCCTCTCTCTTCCTCTCTCTCTCCCATTCTCTCTCTCTCCCATTCTCTCTCTCCATTCTCTCCCTCTCTCATCTCTCTCTCCATTCTCTCTCTCGCTCCCATTCTCTCTCTTCTTTCTCTCTCCATTCTCTCTCCATTCTCTCTCTCTCATTTCTCTCTCTCTCTCTCATCTCTCTCTCTCTCTTCTCCTTCTCTCTCTCTCTCCCTTCTCTCTCTCTCCCATTCTCTCTCTCTCTCCATCCCTTTTCTCTCTCTCTCTCTCCCATTTTCTCTCTCTCTCTCTTTCCCTCCTCTCTCGCTCTCTTCCATTCTCTCTCCTCCCATTCTCTCTCTCTCTCTGTCTCTCTCCCATTCTCTCTGCCATTCTCTCTCTCTCTCTCTGCCATTCTCTCTCTCTCTGCCATTCTCTCTCTCTCTCCCATTTTCTCTCACTCTCCCATTCTCTATCTCTCCCATTCTCTCACTATCCCATTCTCTCTCTCTCTCGCTCTCAGACTGTGCCCCAGGTATGTGTGAGGCAGGACGGTCTGGGGTTTGACTCTGAGCTGCAGGAGCTCTACTCAGCTGTCACGTCCTACGGCAACACCAACGCTCGCAAACGTAAGATCTCTGAGAGACACGCCCCCGAAGAGGACGAATCCACCACACAGGACCGTGGCCCTAACCACGCCGCCAGCAGCACCCAGCCCACAGGTCTGGACCTCTCCTCTCATTGGTCATATGATCTTTCTAATCCCATCCATCTCACCAAGGCCTCAGATTTGGACCTGTATGATCACATGTCCTGCCTACACTCTTTTTCGCTCTCTCTCACACACACAGACACACAAATACAGTACCAGTCAAATGTTTGGACACACCTACTCATTCAAGGGTTTTTCTTTATTTTTACTATTTTCTACATTGTATAATAATAGTGAATACATCATAACTATGAAATAACACATATGGAATCATGTAGTAACCCAAAAAAGTGTTAAACAAATCAAAACATATTTGAGATTCTTCAAAGTAGCCACCCTTTGCCTTCATGACAGCTTTGCACACTCTTGGCATTCTCTCAACCAGCTTCATGAGGAATGTTTTTCCAACAGTCTTGAAGGAGTTCCCACATATGCTGAGCACTTGTTGGCCGCTTTTCCTTCACTCTGCGGTCCATCTCATCCCAAACCATCTCAATTGGGTTGAGGTCGGGTGATTGTGGAGGCCAGGTCATCTGATGCAGCACTCCATCACTCTCCTTCTTGGTCAAATAGCCCTTACACAGCCTGGAGGTGTGTTGGGTCATTGTCCTGTTGAAAAACAAATGATAGTCCCACTAAGCGCAAACGAGATGGGATGGCGTATCGCTGCAGAATGCTGTGGTAGCCATGCTGATTAAGTGTGCCTTGAATTCTAAATAAATCACTGACAGTGTCACCAGCAAAGCACCCCCACACCAACCCACCTCCTCCTCCATGCTTCATGGTGAGAACCACACATGCGGAGATCATCCATTCACCTACTCTGCGTCTCACAAAGACACAGCGGTTGGAACCAAAAATCTCAAATTTGGACTCATCAGACCAAAGGACAGATTTCCACCGGTCTAATGTCCATTGCTCGTGTTTCTTGGCCCAAGCAAGTCTCTTCTTCATATTGGTGTCCTTTAGTAGTGGGTTCTTTGCAGCAATTCCACCATGCAGTGCCTTAGACCACTCGAGTGGCGCAGTGGTCTAAGGCACTGCATCGCAGTGCTAGCTGTGCCACTAGAGATCCTGGTTCGAATCCAGGCTCTGCTGTAGCCGGCCGCAACCGGGAGACCAATGGGGCGGCGCACAATTGGCCCAGCGTCGTCCAGGGTAGGGGAGGGAATGGCCGGCAGGGAGGTAGCTCAGTTGGTAGAGCATGGCGTTTGCAACGCCAGGGTTGTGTGTTCGATTCCCATGGGGTATGAAAATAAAAAAGAATAATGTATGCACTCTGGATAAGAGCGTCTGCTAAATGACGTAAATGTAAATGTAATGAAGGCCTGATTCACACAGTCTCCTCTGAACAGTTGATGTTGAGATGTGTCTGTTACTTGAACTCTGTGAAGCATTTATTTGGGCTGCAATTTCTGAGGCTGGTAACTAATGAACTTATCCTCTGCAGCAGAGGTAACTCTGGGTCTTCCTTTCCTGTGGTGGTCCTCATAAGAGCCAGTTTCATCATAGCGCTTGATGGTTTTTGCGACTGCACTTGAAGAAACTTTCAAAGTTCTTGATATTTTCCGGATTGACTGACCTTCATGTCTTTAAGTAATTATGGACTGTTGTTTCTCTTTGCTTAGTTGAGCTATTCTTGCCATAATATGGACTTAGTCTTTTATCAAATAGGGCTATCTTCTGTATACCACCCCTACCTTGTCACAACACAACTGATTGGCTCAAACGCATTAAGAAGGAAAGAAATGTCACAAAATTAACTTTTAACAAGGCACACCTGTTAATTGAAATGCATTCCAGGTGACTACCTCATGAAGCTGGTTGAGAGAATGCCAAGAGTGTGCAAAGCTGTCATCAAGGCAAAAGGTGGCTACTTTGAAGAATCTCAAATATAACATATATTTTGATTTGTTTAACACTTTTTTTTGGGTTACTACATGATTCCATATATGTTATTTCATAGTTTTGATGTCTTCACTATTATTCTACAATGTAGAAAATAGTAAAAATAAAGAAAAACCCTGTAATGAGTAGGTGTGTCCAAACTTTTGAGAGGTACTGTACATTCTATAAGAGAGCACTAGGGGGAGGGATGAAGCACTATATTCTGTCCCATACATTTTCTGTAATCTAGCTAAACAACATAAAATAGCCTAACATTTCACTTCTTCTGCTAGTGCTGCTTTTAACAGAACAACTGGCGTGGGAAAGTTGGAGTCTCAAGCGGTTTGATACATTTGTTGCAACGTTGATAAATGTGTTGCAACTTTGCAGCTCATACCAAGGATGCGCAAGCAGCTCAGCTTGGTTTTGCTCGGCTCAATAGTGTGAAGATGGGTTTTAGTGTCTGATTATGTCCACTATAGGTGTGAATTGGGGGGGTTTGTTTGTTCCCTACAGGAGAGGTGAACCATGGGCTGGGTCAGCTGGGCCAGGGGGAGAAGAGCCGGACTGGACAGGGGGACCGAGCCAGAACCACAGACTCAGAGATAACTAATGAGGAACAGGTCTGGTCAACTCCTCAATGCTTCTGATTTATTGATAAGCACTTTTACATCAGCAGATGTCACTAAGGCTGCGTTTACACAGGCAGCCCAATTCTGATTTTTTTTCTTCATGAATTGGTCTTTGAGCAATCAGATCAGCTGTTTTTCCAATAATTGGGCAAAAGATCAGAACTGGGCTGCCTGTGTAAACGCATCCTAAGGGCTCTACGGTAACCCAGCCTAGACCCCTCTCCCTCAGACTGAAGAATAAAGGCTATAATGTAACCATAATATCCTTAGCCTGTTTCTAACACCTCTGTTCCCCTCCTCACAGACTAAAGTTCCGTCGGCGCGACCCAAGAAGAAGAAAGCTAAGGGGCTTTTTGGATGACCTCCGAGCCAGTAGGGCACCGAACACTATGGAGACTGTCTGCGACCATGTCCCAAATGACACGGTCAAAAGTAGTGCACTATGTAGGGAATAGGGTGTCTTTTGGGACGCCGTCTGAGCACTACCACCCTAATTCATGTGACATGTTTTTCAAGTGCTGATCTACGGAGATGTCCTTTTTAAAAACATTTGAAAAAAAAAAACATTTTAATTAGATATGCATGTTTTTCCTTGGCTATTTCATTGTTTGATGGATGTGTATTTTTTAATTGTCTAAATAATAAATAAATAACGTGTGACATTTGAGGGTGTCTTATTAATATAAGTATTAGATGTGGATCAAATACCGTGTTCTCACCACATTTTGCAACTGATCTGAATGTTTAGAACATCTTGAATCGTGAGTTAATCTATTCAACTTGTGGGCAGAATGAAGTTGTCCTGTAATGACAGAAATGTGCCACTCTCTAGTCCAACCACAGAGCTATTTGATGCATACCTTATACGTATTGGATGGTTGGGGGTGTGTTGGCAGTTGATTCTTATTTCTTTCGGGAGAGAGTGAGATATTGACTCAAGGTGTTGTAGAATGCTCGGAATGCTATTGAAGTCCTGTTCAATCATTGGTCTACGACTTGGCTTGTTTTCAAAAGTCAATGTTATTAGAACACTGTCATAGCTCAGTCAGAATGCATATTTATACATTTTGTGATATCAATTTATCCCAATTTTAATAAGGTGTCTAAGTCACTCTACAGAAGGGACGCTAAATGTTTGAAATGCCTGACGTAAGAGCGCACATTGTCTCAATTGGATGTTACACTATATATACAAAAATATGTGGACACCCCTTCAAATTAGTGGATTTGGCTATTTCAGCCACACCGTTGCTGACAGGTGTATGAAATCGAGCACACCGCCATGCAATCTCCATAGACAAACATTGGCAGTAGAATGGCCGTACTGAAGAGCTCAGTGACTTTCAACGTGGCACCGTCATAGGATGCCACCTTTCCAACAAGTCATTTCGTCAAATTTCTGCCCTGCTAGAGCTGCGCCGGTCAACTGTAAGTGCTGTTATTGTGAAGTGGAAACGTCTAGGAGCAACAACGGCTCAGCCATGAAGTGGTAGGCCACACAAGCCCACAGAATGGGACCGGCGAGTGCTGAAGTGCGTGGTGCGTAAAAATCGTCTGTCCTCGGTTGCAACACTCACTACCGAGTTCCAAACTGCCTCTAGAAGCAACGTCAGCACAATAACTGTTCGTCGGGAGCTTCATTAAATACGTTTCCATGGCCGAGCAGCCGCACACAAGGCTAAGATCACCATGAGCAATGCCAAGCGTCGGCTGGAGTGGTGTAAAGCTCGCCGCCATTGGACTCGGGAGCAGTGGAAACGCGTTCTCTGGAGTGATGAATCACGCTTCACCATCTGGCAGTCCGACGGACGAATCTGGGTTGGTAGATGCCAGGAGAACGCTACCTGCCCGAATGCATAGTGCCAACTGTAAAGTTTGGTGGAGGAAGAATAATGGTCTGGAGCTGTTTTTCATGGTTCGGGCTAGGCCACTTAGTTCCAGTGAGGGGAAATCTTAACCCTACAGCATACAATGACATTCTAGACAATTATGTGCTTCTAACTTGATTCCAACTTTGTGGCAACAGTTTGGGGAAGGCCCTTTCCTGTTTCAGCATGACAATGCCCCAGTGCACAAAGCGAGGTTCATACAGAAATGGTTTGTCGATCGGTGTGGATGAACTTGACTGGCCTGCACAGAGTCCTGACCTCAACCCCATCGAACACCTTTGGGATGAATTGGAACGCCGACTGTGAGCCTGGCCTAATCGCCCAACATCAGTGCCCGACCTCACTAATGCTCTTGTGGCTGAATGAAGTCCCCACAGCAATGTTCCAACATCTAGTGGAAAGCCTTCCCAGAAGAGTGGAGGCTGTTATAGCAGCAAAGGGGGGACCAACTCCATATTAATGCCCATGATTTTGGAATGAGATGTTCGACGAGCAGGTGTCCACATACTTATGGTCATGTAGTGTAATTAGGCTCGTCTTCCAGATGTTTAGTTGGGGTCAACAACAAATAGCTAATTCCACAGCAGTTCAGTCTTTGTAAAGCTGACCTCAAATTGTATACAATAATACAATTGTGTTCTCTACAAAACATATTGTACTAGGTTAACAGGGTACTTCAAATAAAGGTTAAATAAAAAATAAAGGTTAACAGGGTACTTAAAATAAAGGTTAATAAAAAATAAAAAAGGTTAACAGGGTACTTAAAAGGTGCAATCGCCAATATCTACTATCATTTCAATGAATGATATAGGTCTACACATTGATTCTTAAGAAAGTGTTACCAATATAACTTATAAATGTCCCTTGAGCATGAATAAAAAAATACATTTAGGATTGTGAAATTAAATATTTCTTACTTTAAAAGGTTGCTTTGGGTTTAGGCTCCTTCTCAGCTCTTTTGTTCTCAGTAGCAGGTATTATGTATGTATATTATGTATGAGCAGGTGTCCACATACTTTTGGTCATGTAGTGTATGTTAATAATGGTTTGTGGGACAGACTCCGGGTGGGTTACAGGAGTCGTCGACGGGTTTTGGATGTCCTGACTGTCTCCTTTGGTGAAACCAGACCTACTCGCCGCAATTTACCGCGCTTCTCACCGAGGGCGATTCAATTATATTCGCATGAACCCTATTCTGAGGGAAAAGGAGCGCGGGTGTGTGTACGTGCGTCCGTGCGCGCGCCCCCCCTGTGTGTGTTTCACCACGGTATGAGTTCAAGATAGTCGCACGGGTCCAAAGGACAGTGTGTGCGCGAGTCTAGACGGCCGTAGACTGGTATTTGTCTAGCACAGTGGCGTTGAGCGGAGAGAGCCGAGCGTGTGGGCAATAAAGTGAAATGGCTCGGCCGGGCTGACCCGATGGGAGGAGAGGTAGGCTGGGACGGGATAGAGGGCAGGACTGGCAGGGCGCGGTCTCCTCCACGGCATCTGATCTTTCGGAACTCTTCCATTTCCAGTTGAGCGGAGAGTCTCGCACCACAGGCCACGCATTGAAAGCCGAGTGGCAGGAAAACCGCTGTGGGGACACCCTTTGACCGCTACCCAAAAGCCCAGTCAGTCTGCGCACCGGGGCCTGTCTGACTGAGGGACGTTTCTCACAGCTAGGGAACGGCTTTGAACCTGTCTGCCAAGATAAACGGATCTTTCCCTATTTATGAGCCTGTCTCCGCTTGGACTGGGAGAGGAGACGTTCACCGTGAGAGGAGCAGCTGAACGCACCCGCACTTTATTATAGGGGATCTTACCTGGGGTTTTAAAAGACGCCGGCGCGGTACTACATCTCCAGTAGCGCACTGTCCTTTTGCGCGCCGGGATATGGCGAGTTTTGGGGACTCGGTGATTCATTTGTAACTGTCCTGTCCTCCTCCCCCTCTTGTACCCTGTGAAAGGAGATCATCAGCGACCAGGGGGAGGAGGTGTTTTATATTGATCAGTGACATTTTTCTGTCACCTCCATCCGGGGTGTCCGTTGGCGTGGGTGAGTGGAATGCTACTCCCCAGGCTCGTGGCGTGCCTCGCCGGGTGCGCAGTGATTCTCTCGCAGGTCAGCGAGGGCTGCGGACCGGGAAGGGGATATGGCAAGAGGCGGTCACCGAGGAAGCTTGCGCCACTTGCCTACAAGCAGTTCAGCCCTAACGTAGCCGAGAAGACACTAGGTGCGAGTGGTCGACATGAGGGGAAAATAACCCGGAACTCGGAGCGCTTCAAAGAGCTGACCCCGAACTATAACCCTGACATCATCTTCAAAGATGAAGAGAACACAGGTGCGGACCGGATGATGACACAGGTAAGACTAGCCTAGACCCTGTATAGACTAGATTCGTAAAGCCCTACTGTGATAACATGTTTCATTGGCCATGTCAAACACATATCTGCACTTGGGACACTTGCTTTTATGTGGGTTTGGGTATCTGCCTATAGCCTACCTCTTGTACTTTGCTCAGCCTTTAAACCCGTGGACCTGTCTTATCGATGCGGTGTTATTGACTTTGGTTTCCTGGCCCGGAGCTGTGCACAGCACTGATTACAGAGAGTGCGTATTTGCACAACGTGCTCGAGTCACGCAATCCAAAGAGCGTATTGTTGGCAAAGGGATAGATATGGAGGGTGACTCAGAATGTTATTGGGATATGGAGAGGTTTGCAAGTATGTCCCTCATCAGGTCACCCGCAGGACGTCAGTTGGACTAGTCTTATGGTTGGTTCCAGCATGTTTCGTCCAGAGCTGAAATAGCATCGCATGAGATATTAGGAGTTCATTGAAACTGGGGCTGCCGCATGCGTAAAGCTGGGCAGCGGCAACAAACCCTATAACGCAACCCCTTCTACAAAAGTACGGAATAGTGGAAGCATGTAATTAAAACACTATGTCCTCTGTATTCACATAATTTTGAGGGAAAAACACCCAATCGTCCTATTTGGTCAGAGCCTGACTCGGAGCATACGCAAATGTTTACCGTTCGTTTTAGCCTGACTGGCCAGAGTTAACGGTCGCTTTTTGGACTGTCAGAATTTTTACGACACGCTCATTGATGTGGTTCCAAGAGTGGAATTTATTTGACTTCAATTCCCTAGGAATAAAGTATTTATATCTGCCTCTTGTGACCACGGGCTTCCTATGAAAGCACGAGCGTTTATGTCCCCCATGTGGAAATAGAGTGCCCGATCTCACTCGGTTTTCAGCTGTCACCTCGCTCCAAGCGCACACAAACACACAGGGCTGCGCGTTTAACTTGACCTGCGCACAATTTATGTGCTCCAAGCGCGACCGCCGCCGCCAGCCACAGGAGACAACCTCCTGTTTGTT